TGAGTCCCAGGAGCAGAGGAGCCAAACAGCAGTGTCCCCTGGGGACCTGCCTCCACCCAAACCCACCTGTAGGATAAGAAGCCCAAGAAAGCCGGCCAAGATGTACCGACACCAGCCCTGCTCCTGGGTAGGGCCTTTCACTTCACCTACGCGTCCTCTCATCTCTGCTTTCACGTCTTCTTGTATTGTAAGATAAAATACTCTACCTACCTCTCCACTGGTTCTACTTTCACTTGCCACTTGCCAGACAGCACAAGGTCTCTGGGGCTTAGTCCTTCTGCTTTTGTGGCTTATTAATTTTGAAAGGGCCGTGTGAGGTTTTGAAATGAGTGCACCATCTGAACATTGCAACCCCTTCCAATGACCAGAGTGCTCTGGCACACAAGGGATCAGAATGTCTCTTCTGTATTTCTGATCTTTGGGGACAGTCTCTCCTCTCCCTTAATTCCGATCCCCTCCTCAGAGGTACCTTTGCAAAATAAATGAGCCGGTCACCCTTTCCTGATGCAAGGACTGCAGACTCTCAGCACTGGGCCATGTGAGGACGTGGTCACATGTGAGGATGCAGCTACTTTGGGGAAGGGACTTATGCCAGGGCAGAGGGGAATCTGTTTGGAGGAGCCCTTTTCATAACCGCTGGAGGACCGAGGGGCCCTCGTGAGTGACACCCTTAGTCAGCATCCAGACAAATAGGGACACTAGAGGCCCTCAGGGAAGCCAGGCTACATCAGCGAGGTCGTAGAGAAGATTCGTGTCGGAAATTAGTGTGAACCAGATCAATGGCTGCCAACTCCTAGTCCATGCGATAGTACTAGCCCTGGACAGAGTATCCATCAGTTTGCAGGAAATTACACGCACACGACATAAATAGATGTCGGCATAAAGCTACCAACTGTTCTTTCTCGGGAAACATTGTCTATTATTCCGAGACTTGGGGTGCTCCAATGTCCTTTCTTTTATGAAGTTTATAGTGATGACAGATGGCTTAGTAGAAACTTTCTTCGCCAATGCCTCACTCAACCAACTTACTAGATCAACCAATACCTTCGTTCTCCTGGTGAAGCACACTGACTTCGTGCCCGAGACACAGCAGACACGCACGGCTGGCGGGTTCCTCTCTGGAAGGCCCGCTCGCTTCTGCTCTCGCCCATTGAGGTGCCTGGGTAACAAGGGTCTGCTGTGTTTGGGTCCAAATTTGTCTGCACTGGTCAAACATGTTAACTATAATGATGTAATTGAATTAATTCATTCATAAACTAAGAAATTAAGAGCATAAACAGAAAGAACATTGACCTGTGAAATCAGAGTGTAAACAGAGAACTATTGTTTCTACGAAAACTAAATTGAACGCTTTGGAAAGACTCTATAAAAGTCTGTCGTTCGAAAAAAATGCTGTCAAATTGGGAATGGGTAAGAGAACTGTAAATATTGGGAGGAAAAGATACAAATGAAGATGGATTTTACAATCAGATGGCTTCACAAGCGTCTAGAACTGCTTGCTCCACGTTAAAGAAACTGGAACCAGAACTCCAGGATGAGACAATACGTGTGGTTTGTGCAGGAAAGGCAGCAGTTAGGGTCTCTACATGAAAATACTAGCAAACGAATACACATTTAGATGTTTTAAGTCAAAAGAAAACATTTGAAGAAAGAGTACAGTATTATCTCTTTTATGATTTCCTGGTTTAACCAATTTTTTCAATGAACTGGCCAATTACCAAATCCAATTACACTGAATAAGACCGTACCTACTTGGTAAAATAAAAGGTTGATCGCTGTATCTGTCCCTCACAATCTAAAAAATCATTGCTACATGAAATCAAGCCATCCCAGCAGTCTGCTCCTTCCAAGGCTAAGCGGCTATGAACTCTGTTTTCCAAGGTGTCAAGCAAAGGTAGCCTTTAGCCTCACTTCAAGGCAACTTTTATTTTAATCATGTATATTGGTAGTTACCAGACCAGTATTATTTTTTCTCCCTCAATTGACTCTCAGAAAGGCTGTGTTTTCAGGAAGCCAAAGACTTACACATAGTTCTCAAAAGGAGACTAGCCAAACCCTACAATTTTATCAAGTGAAATCTTTAAATATTAATAATTCAAAAACCAAAGGAGGGAAACCCCAGCAACTTTAGACAGGCTATAAATAATTAGGCACTCAATCAGAACTGAGCGCTCAAATATATTGGACTTTGTTTCAACAGAATGTGCTTTCCTGGAAACCACACAGCAAGGGAGTAAATGCCAGCCTCACTCAGACCAGAGGAGCTGTATCTGAACGCTCCCTTGCAGTAAAGGTGCTGGCCGGCCACCCAAAACCTGCCTTAGCCAAGTCATCATGGCGCAGCTGGATACGGCTGAGACAATACCCAGATACCAATCTGTAAACATTATGAAACAATTTCCTTTCCAGCCTCTTGCATGTGTCTGCCTCCCTGCCCTCACCCTAGCTACTTCCCCAGCACACTCTAAACTCCAGCTCAGGCTTGAATAAATCAGGCCAGATTAGAGGCTGACTCCTGCAGTCAAAACCCAACACAGAAAGAGCCTAGACTCTTTCCAGGAGGACCACCAGTCAGAATCTGCTCTGTCCAGCTACGGAATTGACAAGACTCTTTCACAAATGCCAGGGATGAGTCAACGCCATCTCCGAGGACATAAAGTCCCTTTTCAGAAAGCCACAGATGGCCGAAATCCAGATGGCTGGTATTTTGGATAACATTATATCCCAGCAATACATCTGTCTCGTAGACTCTTTTTTTCAAAGCTTAATTAAGGTACTTAAAAGTGATCAGGGTGGATCCACCTTTCTATGCTGGTTTTACCACTCAACTCAGCCAGGCCACAACCTTCCACTTCCAGCCCGTGTCCACCATCCAGATAAAGGTGGAAGCAGCCAGATTCCTCCACCCAAGCCAAATGAGCTAAATTCTAGTCTTTTCTGTGTTTCTATTAATGGATTTATGTCAGAAGTTTCACAGCAATAATCTTCACTGGGATCAGCGATTGTATATTTCCAGAAGAGATGAATTCCTTACTATCCGACATAAGCATGTACTTGTACATTCTATTTGGTACTGGCTGTTGTAAATAAACTCAGAAATAAAGCCATTTTATGCCCAATAGTTGAAAGGGTGCAGAGATGCCCTGGGCCAAGGCCTTCCATCGACTTATATTCTTATACTTTGACTCACTCGAATTTTGCTCTTCTTTGAACTTTTTCATTTTAAGATCTCTCTGTAGGCACTTCTTGCTCTGTAAATCTTAAAACAGCCTATGTCAAAAACAGTCTCACTCTGACCTGACCAGCTTAAAGGATTAGCTCAAGAACAGTCAAGCTTGCCTGGGCTCTGTGAGTCCCCCCAGGATGGAAAAGCTCTTGAGATTCTAAGGAATCATCTTTGGTGCAATGGGAGGAGGATCCACCCACCAATGCCAGATCCACGTGGGGTGTCCACAGCTGTGAGAAGTCAGACAAACCCCAGGAAACACTGACAGTGGCCTGCGAGACACATCCACGGCCCCTGGACTAACTGGGTCACTGGCTCAGCACTGCTTCTCAAGCCATGATGACTTTCCCTGACACTTTATCCCCAGCCTCCTCCAAATCAACTTCGGGGAAGTGACAGACCTTTGTCCTCCATCCAGAGGACATGATGGCCCCTCCCCCTCCTAATTTTCAAGAGAGGAGAAAGAAGTCTCTCCACTTCTTGCTTCTGGGCAGTGAATCCTGAAATTCCTTCAGTCGCTTGGCCCAGAACTTGCTTCCCAGAACGATGAGCACCACTATTTCTGCTGCTGAGAGCTTTCCTTGTGTTCCCAAGTCTGAACCAACCACATTATTTATTCACTGAGTCAATCAACAAACTTTCAAGAACTCACCACATGCCAGACACTAACTAGGCATGGGGAGACACAGGAGTGAATGAGACAAAGTCCCATCCTTCAGGCAGCTACAGCTTTGTGAGAAGGGGAAGCAATGAACCCAGATACCAATAAATAAATAAGTAAATGCTAGGAAGGAAGTAAAATAAGGGAAGAAGACAGAGAAATTGGAGGTGGGTCACAGGTCGCAGGGGTTGCTGCCCTTAGATGGTCAGGGAAGGTCTCTGAGAGGTGACATTTGAGCTGAGATGTGATGATAAAAAAAAGTTGACTATTCACAGATCCACGGAAAAGCATTCCAGAAAGAAGAGCAAGTGCCAATGCCCTGAGAAGGGAGCAGGCCTCCTCTTATTAGAAGGTCGGAAGAAAGGCCGGGGTGGGCAGAGCAGAGCAAGTAAGAGGGAACACGGCGGGAGATGGGGTCCAAGGGGCACGCAGGGGCCACGGATCCCCTGGGAAAGAACCCACCAGAAGGTGATAAGCAGGGACTGAGCAGGTCTGTGCTTTGAAATGATCCCTCTGGGAGGATCATTGCTGGGAGGAGAATGGAGCTAGGGACAGAGAACGAAAGGGGGAGTCCAGGCAGGAATCAGGTGGTTGCCGGGTTGCTGGGACCGGGCCGGTAACCACGGAGACGATGAAACACCATGGAATTCAGGATATATGCTGGAGGGGAGGCTGCCAAGACTCTAGAATGAAGATAGTAAGTCCAGTGCCCGTGAATACTCGCTAACAATCCCTGTGCGAGCAGCTGCATGAGCGCGTACACGCACATGTGTGCACACGAGCATGCATGCACACACACACGCACATGCTGAATCCTTATGCAAACAGTACAGGGTTGGGGCAGGGACTCCAGACCCTGAGCCAAAATGCCTGGGTCAAATTCCGACTCACCTGCTCACCAGCCATAAAGCGGGGTTCACGTCATTGAACCTCTCTATTCCTTGTCTGCAACATGGGAACAATAATAGAAGTGCCTCGTGGGGTTGTGAGGATTAAATTAGTCACTATACGTGAAGCATTTAGGGAAAAGTACTTGCCACATATCGCGGGAGTTTCCCGTTGCTGCTGTAACAAATGACCGTAAATGTAGTGGCTTATTATAAACGACACACATTTATTGTCCTGCGGTTCTGGAGGCCAGAAGTACAAAATCGGTTTCACGGGGCTCAGGTCAGGTGCCCTTTCTGGTTCCCTCTGGAGGCCCGGGGAGAAGCCGCTCCGGCCTGCGCCAGCTGCAGGAGGCCACGGCACCCCCTGGTCCCGGCCTCAGCCCTCCAGCCAGTGCTCCGAGCGCCCCCGCCTGCTCCTTTTCTGACCTTCCCGCCTCCTTCCTCCGAGGACCCTGGTGATTATATTCAGGGTCCACATGGATCATCCAGAACAATCTCCCCTTCTCAAACTCCTTCACTCAGACACATCTGCACGGTACCCTGTGCCACAGAAGGTGACATTCACAAGTTCTGGGGATTAGGACACAGATATCTTTGGGAGCAATAAATAAAGGTTAATTACTATTATCATCATTATCATCGTTGTTATTCCCATGGCAGCCCCAGGGCACATGCCCAGCCCCCTCCCCAGCTCTAAGGGAGAGGGGGGGATACAGAAAGACCCCTAACTCCCAGAAGCCCCCTGAGACTAGGCCCCAGAGCTGGGGACACGGCCGGCTGATCAGGCGGAGGCCGCAGCCAGCAGTTGTCCTGGCGAGGGGGCAGGGGCAGAAGGTAGACGAGGCAGGACGCCGCTCACGGGCCTGGCTCAGCCCCAGGCTAAGGCCTCCTGAGGGTGCTGTACTCCGTGGGGTCCCCGTGGCTCGTGCCGGGGATGTGGGTGATGAGCTGGCTGGTGTTGCTGTAGGTCGGCTCCTGATCCAAGTTGCCCAAAGTCAGAGATGTGTAGGAAACTTCCTCCCTCGGAAAGGGAGCCTGCAAGGAGATGGCCACGAGGTCAGAGAGGCCGGCAGGAAGCTGTGGCCGTGGGCAGAGCAGCCCTGGGACGAGGCTGGCGGGGGCAGACCCTTCAGAGCTTCTGACGGCCACTCCCACACCCTCAGTGTCCCCTCCACTCTGCCAGGCACGCTGGGCTTCAGCCAGGACAGGGCAGAGCCTCAGCTCCGCACCCGGGCAGCGCATTTCCTGCGGAATCCCCGGTCACTCAGCCCCTCCCTCTGCTCTCTGCTGCCCTGCCAGGGGACCACGCTTGACCGGTCCCTGAGGCCATCTCAGCTATGCCCACATGAGCAGCAGAAAGCCCATACTCCAAGGGGGACAATGGCAGACCTGTCCCCCACCAGCATCACGGCAGCCCCCACAAAAGACACACCATGGTGACGTATTCCACTTCCTTCTGGGCAGAAGACGAGGCCTTCATGGAGGCCTTTTTCCGGGAGGAGCTGGGGGAGGTTCCCGTCCGCTGCAGGGTCAAGTTTGCGTAGAAGAGTTCATCCTCCAGGGGCTGCGACACCTGGGACAGGGAACACAGGCTGGGGAGTCACAAGACCCGTGTTGGGCACAGGTTCTTCTTCCGCAGAGGTTCACGGGCCTCTCTGCCCCCCTGAGTGCCTCCTCCCAGTCCCTCTGTGCCCCACTTCTCAGGCTCCCATGTCCCCAGCCCTGCTGCACCTGGCTGTTTCCAGCCCCTCATCCTCCCAGGTCCTGCAGGGGCCCCTGAGTATGTGGATACTTGGCACATGGCTTATCTGATGCTTTTGGAGCTTCTGGGAGAGGGAAAATGAGGAAGAGGGGAGAGGAGCTGCGTGGTCTCTCTGGTCCGACCCCGGGGACTCTCTTACCTGCGCTGGAGGTACCCCAGCTGCTGGAAGACAAAAACGATCTAGAATTAGAAAGCCCACCCTCGAGATGCACAGGAGCCCCAGGTCTGGGGAAGAGAAATACAGAAGAAAAGGAGTGAATTAGGCTCCAGGCTCAGAAATGGGGACCTGGTTCTAATTCTGTCTCCTCAGATGACACACTGTGTAACAGTGGTTGTGTCACCCCTCTGAGCCTCCATTTCTCCACCTGAAAAGGGGGACACCTCAGCCCCCTGTTCCCCAATCATGGAACTGTGTGAGCGGCCAATCAGGTGGCCCTGCCAGCCAGCAGCTCCCCTGGTATTAAGTTTCCTTCTGCAGAAGCCCGGGTTCAGCCTGTCACTTCTGCCAGAAATTCTACCTGTGACTCCACTTCTCTACCGGATTCATCTTCAGGGATCAACTCAGTGCCACCCTACCTTCCGCCACCCAGGCCATCTAACCTCCTCCCCGGCTCCCAGGGCACCTGCTCTATGTCTGTGTCACCGCCTTCATCCCACTGAACTCGGGGTGGCCGGGCCTGTCCCTGCCTTGCATCCTCGGTGCCAGGCTGTGCCGGCAGTGGGTGCTCAGTCGGTAATACTCGTCTGCAGAGACGGGATTGCTCCAGGCCATCCCCCGAGCAGAGCACATGAGCTGGGGGACCTGTTTTCAGGTGGCTGCTGGGCCTGTCTTCTTTCTGTCCCTTGGCCCTTCCCTGCCACCACCCCCTCCCCCCTGCTCTAGGGACAACAAAGAAACAAGGGGGTTTCCCCTGGATTTTAGCTTCAAAAGACTAGATGCCAAGGAACACATAAAGTCCTTAGGACTTAGGCCACGGAGAATGCATCGTCCCAGGCGAAAAGCCTCCCCAGGCTGTGGGAGGGAGAGGTGCAGGAGAGAGGCCGGATGAGGGCTCGGGACCCCGCGGTTCTAAGAAGGGTGCAATCACTGAGAATGTGGAAGTGGAGCCAGACAGGAAAAGGGCTCGGTTAAGGCAAGATCTCGTGATCTGCGAGTGCTGGCTCCCGACCAAAGAGGCTGTTCCCTGAAGAGTAGGTTCACACGCAGCAAGTGGGTCAGCCCGGGGAAGGTCAGCCCGGGGGAAGCTGGTGGGCAGGGGAGCAACAGGAGTGAGGGCTGCTCCAACCTTTCTTTTTCTTTTTTTGAGACAGAGTCTCACTCTGTTGCCTGGGCTAGAGTGCTGTGGCGTCAGCCTAGCTCACAGCAACCTCAAACTCCTAGGCTCAAGCCATCCTCCTGCCTCAGCCTCCTGAGTAGCTGGGACGACAGGCATGTGCCACCATGCCCGGCTAATTTTTTCTATATATTTTTAGTTGTCCGATTAATTTCTTTCTATTTTTAGTAGAGACGGGGTCTCGCTCTTGCTCAGGCTGATCTCGAACTCCTGAGCTCAAATGATCCACCCGCCTCAGCCTCCCAGAGTGCTGGTATTACAGGCGTGAGCCACTAGGCCCAGCCGCTCCAACATTTCTGATCAGACGCGGAGGACTGTTGTGTGTGCACACATGGACCTGCACTGTGTGTATGCATGTACCATGTGTGCATCTGTTCAGCCGTGTGTGTGTGTGTGTGTGTGTGTGTGTGTGTGTGTGTGTCTCCCTTCCCTCGTGTCAGCTTAGTACCTCCTTGGCAACCACACAGACTCGACTTGACTTGGGTATCTAATCTAGGCACCCTATACTGGGCTGCCCACCTAAGGCAATGTCTTTCTCTGCCACCAAGAGCCAAACCAGGAAGCAAGAGGGGGACATGAGTCAGAGAGAAAAGAAGGACAGGGAAGATATACAAGGCAGGCAGCTAATGCCAAAACCTCCTGGGGCTCACCTGCAAGCTCCAGGCCCCCTGGTCCCTTGGACTGCCAGCTGTCAGTGGCCTTTGGGACAATGCCCCTTCCAGACTGTGTGGGTAATCCCTTGGACCACACAGCTTGGGTGACAACACTGGCCAGCGGCCCCACACCCCTCCACCCAGCCCAGCCACAGCCCAGCCTCAGCCAGGTCTCCTCACCTTTCTTCTGGCGTTTCACCATCCTCCAAGCCAGGAGCGAGACTGCCACCGAGAGAAGCAGCAATATGGCAAAGACGAGGGGAAGGAGGACGCTGAGCCTCATGACGCCATGCCTAGGGACAACAGGAGAAGGCCCATGCACCCCAGGCTCGCCTCCTGCCTCTAAGCCTGATCCCACCCACCGCATAGCAGGGTCGGGGGGCCACACACCTTATGACCTGAAGGTCTGTGGTTTGCAGCCCGGGAACCTTCACTTCTGGGGAGTCTCAAAGATGGTTTTTGAAAAAGAAAGGTGGTTTCAATGTGTCTAGAAGCCTAACAAAGATTGCATGGCAACGGCTCCTAAAATGTCTCCCTGCTCCCACACTTGCCTTCTCTACTGGACTGACAGCATCCTCCCCTCAAATCCATGTCCTCTCAGAACCTGTGAATGTGACCTATTTGCGGATGTAACCAAGTTAAGATGAGGTCACACTGGGTTAGGGTGGGCCCTAATCCAGGGACTGGTGTCCTTAGAAGGGAGAGATTTGAACACACAGGCACACAGGGAGAAGGCACACAGAGGCACAGATAGGGATGAGGCTGCTCAAACCAAGGAATGCCGAGAACTGCCAGCACCCACCGAAAGCTAGGAGAGTGGCATGGGACAGACCCCCAAGAAGGAACCAACCTTGCCGACACCTTGATTTCAGATGTCTGGCCTACTTAGCTGTGAGAAAATCCATTTCTGTTGTTTTAAACCCCTCAATGTGTGGTATTTCGCGACAGCAGCCACAGGACACCCCACTGCTGCTACCCAAAGCTACCCTCTTGCTCAGGCCATTGCGATGGCCCCTTACTCAACTCCTGGCCTCCAGCACGCCCTTCAGACTGCAGCCAAGGCACTCCTCTGGATAAAATCCAAGCTCCTTGACCCTTTGTACAAGGCCCCTTGAGATCTGAGACCCTGCTGGCCTTGTAGCCTCGTTTCCTGTCGTTTCCCTAAAGCAGCCGCTCCTCGCTGGGACTCCAGGCTCCATCTCAGTGACCAGCTTCCAATTCCTCGGATGCCAGGCCTTTGCACCTGCTGCTCCCCCACCGGAAGTCTCCTCTCCATCTCCTCCGCATGCTCCTTCTCCCCACTTCACCCAGCAATCTCTGCCTCACCCCTGCAGGAAGCATCCCCTGGCCGGCTCTGTCTGACGTAGGGGTGTCCTGACCTCCCTGGATTCGCTCCGTCTCTGTGTCTGTCACTGCTGGAATCACCTAAATGCTCGAGCGCCTCCCTCTGATCTGGAATCTCCTTGGGCATGAAAACTGTGATGTGCTGGACGGTGTCCCCTCAAAACCCGTATGTTGAAGTTCCAACCCCCAATACCTCAGAACGTGATCGTATTTGGAGATGGGGTCTTTACAGGGGTAATGAAGGTTAAGTGAGGTCACTAGGGTGAGCCCTAGTCTAGTGAGACTGCTGTCATTAGAAGAGGAGATTAGGACAGAGACACACACACAGGGATGACGACCACGTGAGGACACAGAGAGAAGGCAGCCGTTCTACAAGCCAAGGAGAGAAGCATCCAGAGAAACCAGTCCTGCTGACATCGTGATCTTGGGCTTCCAGCCTCCAGAATTGTGAGAAAATAAATTTCTGTCGTTTAAACCACCCAACCTGTGGTACTTTGTCAGGGCAGCCCAAACAGACAATGCAAGGACTATCTAATTCATCACCAGAGTCATAGAAATTTGAGGAATGAAGTCATCAACCAATGAATTATATCAACTCTAGTTGGTTACATTAATTGTCTCTAGATTATAAGCACCCCAAGGCAGGCACCTCTATTCTTTTGTTCATTCCCATACCCCTCTGTACACCCTGGAACAATGCTGGGCATGAGTAGGTGCTCAATTGTTACTTGTTGAATAAATGAGTGGATTATCCGTCTCATGCTAACCAAAGGCCCTGATCGGTACTTGCGTATGGCTTTGATTAATAAAATAAGTAAATGCTTTAGCTATTACTTATAAAAGCCAGTTTGGTAGAAAAAAACTTTCAGAACAGAGAGCAAATGGCAGAGTGGGAGTAGAAGGGGTCCCCCGTGGTAGAAAGTTTGGGGACCACCCACAGGGATTCTGTGGCAAGGTGCCAGCAACAGGAGACCTTGGCAGACCTAGAAATAAAGTCAAGAGGGCCAACCAGAGTGAAAGGAGAAAACGAAAGAGGACTTTTCTGCTTCGAGAAAGCCTCTTTGTCTGCAGATGGCTGGGCAGGGCACTAAGAGGCACGAACGGAGCTCTGGGTGTGGAGTCCAGAGACTTCCATCCAAGCTCCAGAGCCACCCCTCACCGAGGAAGGGACTGAGGCTCAGTTTCTTCTTCTGTAAAATGGGAACATTCGTATCTGCCCATTCCTGCAAACGTGGTAGTGGTCCTAGCCAGCATCGAAGAAAACAGAATAATGGACGGGAAAGCCCTTTGTGAGCTGCCAGGTGCTGCGGAGACGTGGGGACTATCAGTATCACTGTTTTCCTGCCACAGCAGTAATTAGAGGAGCATTTGGGGGAACAGGACTTCCCCAAGCCCCCCTGTCCTCCCAGAAGTTGGGCCAAGAACCATCCTGCAGCCCCACGATCCTGTGCCCACACTCACACTAGCCACACTGTCCTCACTGCCAGCCACTCGTCTGTCTCCCACACTAAGCTCTGAGTTCCACAGGACAAAGTCCACGTCTTTGTCCCCAGAGCTCAGCCATGTAGAGGTTAACTCAGTAAAAGTGCAGTGAATGAATGAATGAACCCACAAACCTACAAACTGCACTGAACTTCAGGTCGAAGGATCTGTGGGGGCTGAGAGCAAGTGGGAAGGTCCCCCAGCATCTTCATGCTCACCGAGGAGCCTGCGGATCCAGGGCAAGCTCTGGCTGGGGCCCAGACTCCAAAGGTTCCCCCTTTGGAGGAGTTTGGGCCAAGTGGGCCACAGGGAATAGCAGCGTCGGAACTGGCTTACCCGTTATCAAAGTGATAGCTGGTCAGCGTCGGGGAGCAGTCAGTCTTTTCCAGGGTGGCCAGTGCTGTAAACATGTTGGTGGTGGGGGCGGCGGTCGACACTGTAGCTGGTGCTGGCATACAGACCAGATTACACACCACCCTGCCCCCGGGCCCCCCCGCAGCCCTGCTCACGGCTCTGAGCCTGGCGGGCCTCAGAGTCAGGTGGGGCGCGGCACAGGCAGAGGGAGGATAGAGGGGCCTGGAAGGAGCCTCAGGACCAGGGCAGCTGGAGTCAGCTGAACTTGAAACAATCCCGCTGCTCATGCCAATGCCTCAGCCAATCCTCCCCCCACCTCACCGACCCAGCAAAGACAAGAGCAGACTGGGAACTTGCGCAGCAGCTGACATATACCCTAGATTGGGACATCTGCCCTGAACAAAATCATAATATTCAGGAAGAACCTTGACTCTGGGCAAGTTGCGAAGCTTCAGTGATGGGGATACCACTTCCCAGGGGTGTTGCAAGGATTCAGTGAGACAATATATGTTCTGCATTTTGCAAACAAGAACATGCCCCAGAGGTCCCGGGTGCCGTGTGGGGCCCCGAGAACTGCGGTGCCACCCCCGTGCCACAAGGGCCATCGAGCTGGTGCCGGCCATCTGAGGGGAGCAGAAGCCCAGCCCAACACATAAACTCGTGCAAACCAGGCCACTGGGGCCTCGGAGCTGAGCCTCCCAGGAGTGTCTGCATTCTAGAAGGACTTGGGAAGACAAACTCCTCAAGCCCAAATGCATAAATGGAGCTTGGTGGGACTCAGCCCCAGGAATGCAGCTGTTTGACTGTGAAGGCCTTTCTGGGCCTCAGGAATTACACCCCAGCACCCTGGCGACGCTGGGCCTCTCTTCCCCCAGGGTGGGTGTGGGATGGGGGTGGGAACAGCGGCTGTGAAGCCCCAGCCGGAACTCCACCGAGAGCAGGACACACCTGGGCACCAGAGGTCCCAGGAAGGCATTGGCAGGTTGGGGTCTCTGGGTACCATGGAAGGGGGTGTCTTTGGCCCATGGGCTGAAACTGGGACCATCACCTTGTCTCCTGTGAGCAATAGACATAGACACTGAGCTATTCAGAGAAAAAACTAAATGTGCCTGGAAAGGCCTTGATCCATCCTGGAGCACTCCGTGGGAGCCACAGGACACATGAGAGAAGCCCCGCCCTCCCGATGCCAAGTGGTCAGTCAGGCTCTACGAGACCTCAGGACTCCATCCTCTGCGACAGGTGACACTCAGTGACAGTTACCTCACTCGAGTGTGAATTCAAGGACCAGGACAGAGCAGTCCTGAGAGACTCCACACCCTCTTACCTGGGTCAACGGTCACCTCAACTTGGACCCCATGGTCAGCTCCAGTTCTCTTGATCCCACACCAGTAAGTGTCAGCATCGTCTCTCCTGAGCCCCTCCATGGTCACGGTGAACGTGTGGTTTTTCTGATTGTCCCTGATGGACACATGGCCCTTTCTCACCTCCTGCTCTGATCCAGTGGTCTCAACAAGCATCTTACAGCGGCTCCAACGAGCCCCTCGACACCACCACTTCCTGTGGGTTTCCCACCCTGGGTCATAGCGACACTGCACGGTCAGTGAGCCCCGCTCCGGGCCTCTTGCTGCTCCCGGACCAGTGAGTGGATTCCCAGCAGTGGAGTAGCCTGGAAAACACAAATCCATGTACCTGTCACCTCCCGCCCCAAGGGCAGGGCCACGCCTCCTGCATTGGGAATAGCTCCCAAATCCCAGTGTCACATGCGTTAAATAACAGTCAAGGAAGAAATACACCTTCCACGTGACAAAGCTTTTGCCCTTCAGTGTTCCGCTGGGTCAAAGCCACCAGGAAAGTCACTGCACAGCACAGCCACAGACCCCAAAAGAAACAACCATGTTGACACTGAGCAATAATAGCTTCTTGTAATTCACCCCTCTCCTCCTGCTCATGGCCAATGTAATCTGCGTCTTTCAAGGGATGTCCTTTTGCAAACATCTTTGTGTCATACTGGTCTGGTGGGAAGGAAATACCAGAAGACCCATTTCCATCGGAGAATGACGGCTGCCTTGACTCGACTGTTCCTGGTGGTTCTAATGTTTTCCGGTGGCTCTGCTGTAGAGAGCCACCCCGGGGGAAGCCTTTGCAGTCCACCAAAACAGTGATGCCAACTGGTCTCCATGTGCTTTGGGATACATATCACACAGATCCCATTTTCTTCATGGAAGTGCTTCGGCCCCTTGTCAAATAGCAAATTTGTGATTATTTATGGATTTTCCATTCTGTTCCATTGATCTATTTGCCCAACTTTATGCCATCTTTATGCCCATCTTATGTCTCGTTCTTTCTCTCATTTGCTCATCTTTGAAAGATTCAGGATACAGGGAAATGTTTCTTTACTGTAAGAAAAACAGCACTTCAAGCATGATAACAAATGGCAAATGACACAAGGCCTCTGTGCGGGGGAGACGCTGACAAACAGTGGGACCACGGCAATCCGAGAGCAAAGGACCTGTGCCAAGGACCCTGTTCCACTCCAGCCCATCATCCTCATACAAGAAATGGGCTCTGTGACAAGAACACCCAGTGGGGCAAGGACAGTCCCTTCAATAAATAGTGTTGGGGAAATGGACAACCACATGCGGAAGAATGAAATTGGACCCTTATCTTACCCCATACACAAAAATCAATTGAAAATGGATAAAACACTTAAAGGTAAGACCTGAAACTATAAAAGTATTAGAAGAAAAAATAAGGAAAACACCCCATGACATCGTCTGGGCAATGATTTCTCGGATATTACCCCAAAAACACAGGCAACGGAAGCAGAAGTGGACCAATGGGATTGCATCAAACTAAAAAGCTTCCGCACAGCAAAGGAAACAATTAACACAGTGAAGACACAACTCACAGATTGGGAAAAAATATTTTCAAACCATACATCTGATAAGGGGCTAATATCCAAAATATGTAAGGAATTCAAATAACTCAATCACAAGAAAACAAATCGCCCAAGTAAAAAATGAGCAAAGGGGCCGGGCGGGGTGG